GATGAATTAAAAAGTAAACTATATATTCTGAATAAATAAATTACAAAAATTTTGCAATAAACTTGAGCTGAGCATGTGAATTGTGTATAAAAAATGAAAGGACAAATTTCAATGAAAAAGGGGTCTGTTTTACATAAACATTAAAGCTATTATTAATCTTATAATCTAGTTGAAAGAAGAGTTTATAATAATGGTATATTCAAAGTATCAATACAACTGAGTTAAAATTATAAAAAGATAGAATAAATAATATTATAACATTAAAACTGGGATATTTTTTAGTTAAAAGTGTACCTTTAATCCACTTTTGACGGCGTTTTGACAGATAAAGTAAATTTTGAGACCACCCCCAAATGTAAAATCCGTTACTGACAGAAGCACTTGCTATTCATTTTCAATAATTTTTAGTGTCAGTACGTGTTATATCTGTAAAAGCTTTTGAAAAATTATAAACAAATGATTTTTACACCAAATCATGTCAATATTTCATTACTTTACTTGGTGTTGATCAATAGTTTTCTGTTTATTTCTTTTGGAAGCGCTTGTAAACAGTCTGACGGTGACAACATCCGGTTACTTCGTTCTGATTTTCTGACTACACGTGTATATTTAAAAGAAAATGAAATAAAAAAAACAATTAAAAAATATATAGAATTCTATACCTATCAATGAAATTTTCAGTGTCAGTTCTAGTCGGGCGCCGCCATTTACAATGTAACGCAATGATAATAGGCGGGGTATTCCGATAACGGAACAAATCTCAACTTTTCGGATAAATGATAATCGTCGAGTGTTCCGAGTGAAAACAGAAGCGGTGCATATAATACCGAATGACACTTTTAAAACGGAAAGAATGAAAGGAATTTTTAACGACTTCCCCGTTCATAGGCTTTGCCTAATTTCATATAATGTATTATGCATTTAAAGATTTGAGATCAGAAACTAGTTGTATTAGTTAAATTAGAAGAAGAATAAGAAGTTCGGTCATTGAAAATGCCATCTCAAAATGTCAAACATTTACAAGGTATAAATTTAAATAAAAAGCCAAAATAAGTGAACATTAAAATACAGGAATGATTTAGCAATACAGCATAATAGCGAGCTCGACGAGCTGGCCCAAAGGGCCTGCTCGCAAAGCGAGCTTTATGGTAACGCGAGTACCTGCTAAGTGATGGTTTTGAAAACTTTCGTCCGAAGTACCGAATTGGACACATCGCAACTTTTCGAAATTTAAAGATAACGATAAAAACTGAGGAATTCTGACTGAAAACGGATGTGTAGACTGGTCACCTGCACATGTCTATGGGAACCATAATTGGACAGGGAACCAGAATAACGGAAGCTGTGTATAAAATATCGAATGACAGTTTTAAAACGGAAAATGTAAAATGAAAATTGAAGACGCCATTTTGTTTGAAAAATCTGATAAATAAAAACAATTTTTTGTCAAATTTTGTTGTGAAAACTATCTACAATGAAAGAAAATGGTCTAACTAAGAAAATGAATCCGAACACCAATATCTTTTATTCGGTCGTTAACGCTGTACAGACGTTTAAAGTATTGTTTAAGTGACGTCACAATGTAGCGCCAAACAGCATGCGCAAAACAATCAAATCAAGTACGCTATTTTAATGTCGCAAACGTTTTAAGTTTTACATTTATTTCACTTTTGATAAACTTTATTTCGGTTGAAAAATTATAGAGTGAAAAAAAATTTAAAAAAAAACAAAGTTTTATCAACGTTTTAAAAACTCGTTATTCACAATCGCAACTACTCGGCCCTTTCCGTCAGTCTTCGGATAAGGACCTCGAACACATTAGTATGAATACACAGAACGGATGCGGTATTTCGGTCTAACCTATGCTAAGAAACTAAACATGAAAACAAATAATAATTTAATGCTGGGGGTTGTTTACAAGTTTATTTCCAAAATATGTAGTAAAAGGCCATCTAAAATAAGTAATATCATAGGTACAAAAGCAAATAATTCATTATTTATATATTTATTATTATGGTTGTAGAAACCGAAAGTACAAAAAACCAACCTGTTGACATTTCGTCGGATTTGTTTAAAATTGAACATCAGTGGGCATATTTTAATTACAAATTGTTGTCAGACATATTTTCAAGCAAAAGAGTACCGGAACAGGCATGTCAAATATATACATTCGTTTTACATTATCTTTGTTTCTGTTTACATCTGAAACCACGTGGTAGAACTACTTTCAATCCGTATTGTTTCCGAGGTTAATATTACAGATAAAGGGGGCAGGGGACCTAAAAATGAAAAATTTTGTATTTCAGTGTGACCAGAAACACAATTCCAAATATTTCAAAATCTGTTTCACAGGCAGATAACCAGCCGTGCGTTCATTACCGAAAACGTTCGCCATATGATATAATTCCCACCGCGAACTACTTGTTGAACGATTCGTCCGCGTCAAACTATTTCAAGATGGCGGACATTGACGATATAACAGCTTTACTGATAGACGAATTTACAAATGATGACTCATTTGAACAAGCCATCCGTAACCAGAACATAATTACTGATGTTCCACTCACTATTGCTAGTAGATATTCATTAGTATTGATTTTCTATCGAAGTACGAACGCAAGGTCGTTGATAAATACTTTTAATGTAAACATTGTCATATATTTTCGCGGTGTTGAAGTATATGAATCTCATATAAATTTTTTTATAGACTTTGTCCTGTTGTATTAGGAGACATTGTACAACATATATTTATAGATGCAAATAGATAAACAGTCAAGATAAGAATACACCAACTGCGAGTTCCTGACTGTTATATTTTAGCCATCAAAAACAGCCACTACCTCCTATTAAAAAATTATCTAGCACTAGCAGTTAAATGAATTCAATAGAGTATTGTTTGTTGAATAAATTTAGATAATTTTTATTTTCAATATGAACAAGATTGCATTTGAGAAAAATGCTATGCCACCGCATTAATACAACACTAAATAGTAGTGTCAGAACAGATTTTCTTTGTTTCTATACAATTTTGAAGATTGTCATAATGCATAGATCCCTGACCTATCTAATTCTTATTATCAGATTAGTGGTTAAATCTGTTGTTAACTCAATAAAAGATCAGAGTAGGAATATATCAATGCACTTGAGTCTAGTGAATTTGGTGGTGAAGGTCATATTTCACACAGCCTAAATTTCATGACTAAATCAAAGGACAACATAGTAAGACACTTTGTCAAAATCTAGGTCAGCTGAAATCAAAGTTCACTTAACATCTTAATCTGTACACATGGTTCAAATTTCATAGCTGTACATCAAAGGACAAGAAAGTAGGTCACATTATCAAAATCTAGTTCACCTGATATCAAAGTTCAATTTTACAACTAAAACTGTGCACATGGTCAAAATTTCATTGCTGTACATCAAAGGACAAGAAAGTAGGTCACTGTCCCCTTGGGCAAGGCAAAATTTTGGACCCAAGGGTTTAATTCAAAACAATCTTGATACAGGTCCACCAAACAACATTTCAAGTCAAATATCTAAGCTGTAGTTTTCTCCTATTCAGAAAAGATTTGTTTTATTTTCTGTTTTTACTATGTGAACATAATGAGAATCACTGCCCCTGGGCAGGGCCAATTTTAACACTAGGGGCATAATTAAAACAACTTTAGTAGAGAACCCATAGAATATATTGTAGAGCAAACATCAAAGCTCTATGCCTTGTACCTTCAGACAAAAATATTTCTCTTTTTTTTTTTTACTATATGTACATAGTGAAAATCAATGACTCCTGGGGGTGGGGCCAATTTTGACCCCTGGGCTATAATGTGTACAATCTTGCTAGAGGTTCACTACATAATGTTTCATGCCAAATATCTTAACTCTAGCCTTTGTAAATTTAGAGAAGATGATTTTTTAAGTTTTTACTATATACATATAAGGAAAACCTATGGCCCATGGGGCGGGGCTAATTTTGACACAAGAGGCAAAATTTGAACAACTTTGGTAGAGTACCTATAGATGATATCATTTAACAAATATTCAAGCTCTAAGCCTTGTACCTTAAGACAAATAGATTTTTTTACTTTTTACTATATGTATATATTGAAAATCAATGACCCCGGGGCAGGGGCAATTTTGACCCCAGGGCTATAATTTGAACAACCTTGCTAGAAGTTCACTTCACAATGTTTCATGCAAAATATCTAACCTCTAGCATTTGCTAGAAGAAATTTTTTTACTATAAAGTTTTTACTATATACATATAAGGAAAACCAATGACCCCCGGGGCAGGGACGATTTTGACCCCAGGGCTATAATTTGAACAATCTGAGTAGAGGTCTACCAGACAATGCCTTATGCAAAATATCTAAGCTCTAGGTCTTTTGGGTCTTTACAAGAAGGTATTTTAAGTTTTTACTATATGTACATATAGTGAAAATCAATGACCCCCGGGACGGGGCCGATTTTGACCCCAGGGCTATTATTTGAACAATCTTGGTAAGGGTCTATCAGACAATGCCTTATGCAAAATATCTAAGCTCTAGGCCTTTTGGGTCTTTACAAGAAGTTATTTTAAGTTTTTACTATATGTACATATAGTGAAAATCAATGACCCCGGGGCGGGGCCGATTTTGACCCCAGGGTTATAATTTGAACAATCTTGGTAGTGGTCTACCAGACAATGCCTTATGCAAAATATCTAAGCTCTAGGCCTTTTGGGTCTTTACAAGAAGATTTTTTAAATTTATTCTTATAATTCCTATTGGTTGCCATGGCAACCAGATTTCTGCATGGAATGAAATTCTTTGAACAACTTTGGAAGCCCTTCACCCAAGGATCAATCCTGCCAAGTTTGGTTGAAATTGGACAAGTGGTTTTTCACAAGAAGATTTTTTAAGTTCACTATATAATCTATATAACACACACACACACAAACAAACACACACACAGGTGAATCGCTATATGCCACCGCATCGCAGATGCTGCGGTGGCATAAAAATGCTTATTATTATAGCCCGCTGAGATTTATCTCCTCTCTTTATTTCACTAAATATACAATGGAATTTATTTAACTTTTGCTCAGGTCTTTCTGAATTAGCAGTGGAGAGAGAGGATTCAGCAAGAATTGAGGGGTATGTGGAGGAAATTATTCCCCTGTATTCAAGCATTGACTTCAAGTCACACTTCCATATGAATCGGAGCACCTTTGAGGTAAATATATTATTATTATATGTATGTATATGTTAATAAATTTATATATAAGTAATTTGAGATTGTCCCTGTTATTTGTCCGAGGGCAGTGGTACTGGCCCAAGGCCGAACGACTGATAAGAGGGCAAATAACAGGGCCAATATCAAATCATTTATCTATTGACATTTTTATTAAATAAGTACATGTACTTATAATATTTCACATTTAATTCTCGCACGGTGCATATCCATATCGGTACCCTCTTTGCGAAATCTGCTGAAACGGTACCCAATTTGCACATGCACAGGTCATTCTCTGCTAAAAACAAACCAGCGATGGATAACATCCAGTAAAATTTCATTGTAATAAGGAAAGGAGGTATGACACTTAGAAAAAATGTATACCACGGAACACTAGTATATTTAATTTATGTGCTGATTTGTCATGCAGTGTTTCTGCCAGAGCGCGTTTTTGGCGCACTATTTTCAGCCATGACGCAATGAAATTTAGTTAGTGCGTATTTTGTGACGCAAGAATTTCACCGTCGCTGATTTCAACACAAGTCAGATATACAGACTATAAACCGTCAATTCAGTATAAAAATGTAGGAATGTTTACTGTGGGCTCCACTATAATTTTAATGAGAAATGAAATTTACCGGGTCCGTGGTCCGGCATTTAGCCAATTTCAACTAGTTAATAAACGCGTGCATTTATACATTACTGCATATATTGAAAGCGCCCAGACAAAATTATTTATTTTGTTGTCGTCATATTCTGCGAACGAATAACTGTCTGCTGGAAAATGCAGTCTGCGTATATGTTAGTGTTCATCTGTGCTGTTCTACAGAAATTAGAAACTTCGAAGGGAGCGATAGCGACAGGAGAATGTTTCTAATTTCTGTAAAACAGCTAAGGATGAACACTAACATATTTAGTGTCAAGCTTTATTTGGCCCTTGATTATGTCACTAGGCGGTACTATGAAGCACTATGAAAAATAGAAGGCGACTATTGAACGAATTTCAATATAGTATCGACTTTCTTTCTTCTATTAAAATTAACACACATAATTTTTAAGAAATACAGCGTTATTATTGGATGACAAATAATCCAAAAAAGCAGAGATTGACCAATTTCTTCACGAAAAATATACAAAATATTGTAAATAAAACTTATAAAGTGTTACCTGTTTTTTTTTTTTACATTTTTGTTAAATTTATTGGCATGACCCTTATGAATTTGAAATGACCCCTAAAATATCATACAGGGGGTCATAAAAGACCCTCAGAAAATCAGAGCTGGCAGAAACACTGGTCATGTACCCATTTTTCATGTACTGCAACTCATAATAAGCTACAAAAAATAGACATGTCTTGCCTCGTCCATCACCTCGACATACTTTTCGGGCTGCAATGAACCTGTGGCTTGATTATTTATGCATCATACATATTTAATATGTTCATTTACATATCATCTTCGGACAACTTTAGGACAGTATATTGTCAAAAATAAATGTAAAATTCATAAAAACACCCTACTTTCGGTTTTCCAGCGGCACAGGCTACCTCTCTTCATTTGAATATTTATATCACAGGTACCCTCTCATTTTTTTAACACATACATACCCTCAAAGCACGACATATGCTTTTATTTGCGTTAATGTTTAAGTATGTATTAGTTACATAAAAATAAGAAATATGACACTTAACGATTAACGCAAATAAAAAACATATTTCGTGCCTTGAGGGTACCTATGTCTTATTCTCAATTGATAGGGTCATTATTTTATTGTAGCTAATTCATATTGTTACTGTATTCAATTTATTTTTCAGGAACTTTGCACAAAAATGGCTCCATTAATGATCAGAGAGAGGGCACTAACTGTAGAGAAAAAGCTTCTAGCAACACTGTGGATCCTGGCAAATCCAGAGAGTTATAGAAGTGTTGCTGATAGATTTGGAGTGAGTAAAGGTACAAACAATTATCTATAAATATTAATGAGATCCTTTTTATTGTTTTTGATACCACACGGCTCACATTTTGTTTTGTCCCCTCAGAAATCAAGATGAGATTGGCAATTTTATTCTGCTATAAATAGTAAAGTTTGTAGTTCAGTATTGCCATCTCCATGCACAGCCTGTTTTTTTTTATCTTGACCATTACCAGACATTGTTTTTTGATCTTGACCATTACCAGACATTGTTAATCCTTAAATGGCTTTTTAAGATACTTGTTTTTATAAGACAAATTGACAAGTACATGCTTCAGATTCACTGGCAAGTCAGGTTTATTATTTTAGCTTTAAAAAGAGATATAAGTCTCCACTCTGGACACCATGTTGCTAGTGATATAAAGAGAAGATATGGTTTTGACCATAGTAGGGTTCAAAGTCAAGATAACTTTGTTGAGAGATAGGAACTTGAAAATGCTTTGCCCGAGACATAGATCTGTGAATAAACAACAGTCTTTGTTTTGTTTCAGGTACATTACATCTCATAGTAATATCTTCTTGTCACTCTCTGACTGAGTTGATGGAAGAATTTATCTATTTTCCTACAACAAGATCTGAGATGGCAGCCATTGCAGACGGCTTCAAACAGCGTTGTGGAATGCCAGGGGTTGTCGGAGCTGTAGATGGGACTCATATCCCCATACCAGCTCCTAGGTCTGTTCATCGGGCATCATTTATAAACAGAAAAGGCCACTCAAGTATGATTCTACAGCTTGTATGTGACAGTAAGTTGAGGTTTTTAGATGTATATACAGGGTGACCTGGGTCAGTTCATGATGCCAGAGTATTCAGAAATAGCCCTATAGCCTCCAGGATTGAAGACTTACCAGACGAATTTCATCTTCTTGGTGATTCAGCATACCCTATCAGCAAGGGTATGATGGTTCCATTTCGGGATAATGGCCACCTAGACAATGTTCAGAAGAAATTCAATTCATGTCATTCTTCTACAAGAGTAGATGTGGAAAGAGCTATAGGGCTTTTGAAGTGCAAATTCAGACGACTGAAACATCTCGAGATGCATCTTGAACAAGAAATTCCAACAGTGATTGTAAGTTGTTGTATTTTACATAACTTCATTTTGAAGTTTGAGACTGTTGACTTTGATGATTTACTTTCTTCCGACAATGATACAGCAACAGACGTTCAGTTAGATGGAGGACAACAGCAGGGAAGTATAGCTGGAGAGGATAAGAGAATGGCCATAGCCTTATCACTGTAGTTTGCTTCTAGTATAATGGTACTTGTGTATATGCCTAATGACAAAATTGTTACTACCACGCAAATCTTACAGGACATTTATTTGATTAGCATGTGACAAAATACTGAAACAGTTTTCTTCAGAATAAAATTAGTGTTCTAGATACTCTAGTCAGAATGTTAATTTACCACTGGTATTTTTTGAGTACCGGCATCATGACTTTGTTTCATTTGTACTTTTTACCTGCTGATAAAGTGGGGTATGGTGGGTAATTTAGCGATGACAGTTAAACTTCTAGTTTAAGAATGAAAATAGAAATGATCAATGTGATACTTTATTTATGAGATTGTTTGTACTTTTGTTTATTATTTCCTATAATTTGAGTAATAGATTTTGAACTACAAGTTTGTACTGTTGTTTTCATTTTTTTGTTGATGGTCATTCTGTCCAACTAACCTAACAATTTTCCAATGTGTTATTAAATAACAACACAAGTCTAAATGAATATCAATTTCACACTGACATTTCTTTAAAGTCTGATGGTTGTTAAAGGCTTTAGGGTTATAATGGTATAGTATGATAAACTACATAAGTTGAGAAATATTCAAATTATATATTTGGCTGAAGATTGTCATGGTTGCCCGATTTTATATATAAATAAATGTAAAGATTTTGCATAAAGTTTAACCAAGTCGGACGAATATAAATTAACCATTGCAAGTTTTCACAGCTACGTCATTGTTTTACAATGTTCCCAAATCCATGATAATATTCAATGGACATACAGCCTTTACCACATTTTTAGGTTTCAACATTTTCTTGTCCACCTGACAAACTAATGCCTGCTGAAGTGACTTCAAAATAGGCACAAATGAATATTATATCAAGACAATGAGTTAAACAGGCCTGTTTAAAAAGCTTGCAACTATGAATAGCTCTTGGCATTTACAAAACAAGTTACCATCATTATCCATGTGAAAAAGGGGCATAACTCCTTAATTACCGATTATGTATATCACTTACCATATAGATGTGCTTTGTCCCCATTATTTCTTACATAGTGTACAATAAAGTATTTGCAAAATGCAGAAGACAGTCTAGCGAATAAAATAGCTCAACAGATTCTTTGAAATAGGTGAGCCAAATATGGCTAATACTCAGCAATAGCATGTGATAATTTTCAGGGTATTCATGGACTTGGGTCCAGAATGATAAAAATTGGCTCATCATCAACAACATGTGTCACCATCACCTGTCACCACCACTACATAACACCACTTGTCACCATCTCAACGTGCCACCATCACATGACACCACGTGTTACCATCACATGACACCATGTGTTACCACATTTCACCACCTCCTGATACCACATGTCACTTCCATCACATGTCAAATGACACTACGTGACACCACATTTCACCACCACCTGACACTAAGTGTCACCACCATCACATGTCACCACCAAGTAACACCACCTTGTGTCACCACCACTTGACACCACGTTTCACCACCACCTGACACCATATGTCACCACCATCACATGTCACCACCATGTGACAGCACCACATGACACCACAACTTAACGCCATGTGTCACCACCATCACATATCACCACCACCATGTGTTACCACAATCACATGTCACAACCATGTGACACCACAATCATGTCACCAACACATGTCACCACCAAGTAACAACACCTTGTGTCACCACCACTTGACACCACGTTTCACCACAACCTGACACCATATGTCACCACCATCACATGTCACCACCATGTGACAGCACCACATGACACCACAACTTAACGCCATGTGTCACCAACCATCACATGTCACCACCACCATGTGTTACCACCATCACATGTCACAACCATGTGACACCACCATCACATGTCACCATCATCACATGTCACCACCACATGACACAACTTAACACCATGTGTCACCACCACATGACAACAATGTGTCACCATCACACCACCACTACGTGACAGCACCGCATGACACCACATGACACCACCTTCATGTGTAACCTCCACCACCACATGTCACCACCATGTGACACCACAATCATTTCACCACCACATGACACCACATGTTACCAATTACACCAACACGTGTTACAACATGACATCACATATCACCACCATCACATGTCAACACAATGTGACACCACAACCATTTCACCACCATCACATGACACCTCTTGTTACCAAATAACACCAACATGTGACACCACTATCACATGTCACCACCACCATGTGTTACCACCACCACATGCGACACCACAATCATGTCACCATCACATGACACCACGTGTTACAACATGACACCACAATCACATGTCACCACCACCTGACACAACAACTTAACACCATTTGTCAACACCACATGACACCACCACATGTCGACACTATGTGACACAACAATCATGTCTCCACCACATGACACCAGGTATTACCAAATTACACCAACACGTGTCTCCCACATCACATGTCACCACCAAGTGACACTACATGAAAGCACCACATGACACCACATCATGACCACCTCTTGTTACCAAATTACACCAACACGTGACACCACCACGTGTCACCACATCATGACACCACCACCATTACGTGTCACTTTGTGTCACCACCATGTTTTACTACATGTCGCCACCAAGTGTATCTATTTATAGAATTTTCTATTATAGAATTGCGTGTTTCTTAATTTAAATATTTAAAGATTTTGTTCAAACATTTGTCTGCTTTTAGAGAAAGTAAAAAGTCAAGCATTACCCCGCAATGGTGGTTCTTGTTTTTTGTAAGGATGAGGCACTTGTAAGACATAGAATTAAATAAAGTGTTACCCTCTTCAAATAGCAATCCTCCTATGAAGTTTAAATATTGTGGGCCAAATGGAACTGAAGTTATTCTCCGAAACTATTTTAAGGTAATAGTGACCTTGAACTTTGACCTTGTGACCCCAAAATCAATACGGGTGTTCTACCCAATACAGACAATCATCCTATGAAGTTTGAACACTGGGCCAAATGGAACTAAAGCTATGATATGGAAACTGTTTTCAGTTTTAAAGTTATAATGACCTTGACCTTGAGACCCAAAATCTATAGGGGACTCTTCCATCCAATATGGACAATCATCCTATGATGTTTGAACACTGTTGGCCAAATGGAACTTTAGTTATCTTCTGGAAACTGTTTGTTGTTTTAGGTAATAGTGACTGACCTTGTGACCCAAAATCATTAAAGGTCTTCTACCCAATATGGACAATCATCCTATGAAGTTTGAATACTGTGGGCCAAATGGAACTTAAGTTATGCTCCGGAAACCAAACTGCTAACGGGCAGACGCCAGGGGGTATAACATAATATGCCCGAAATTCCTTCGGGCATATAATAACCACCAAACAGTCCTAGACAATCATAAGGGAGCTAAATTATAACAACTTAAAACTTTACTACTAAATTTTAATGAAAAAGAAACAACAGAGAACAAACACTGTACAAACATGATAAGCAGTAAATAGATCTCTACAATATATCATTAATTTTAAAGCAGCAAGCCTCTAGACTCCTGTCAATTTTCATCAAAATTAATCGCACATTACATGCAAAATATAACTTGGATAAGTGTGTTAACCTTTCTTAATTTTTTTTTCCAAAATTGTTTTTATTGGAGTATTTTGGCTCACCTTGAGGCGTGCAGCTTTAGAAAAAAGTTGTGAACGATAGTTAAAAGTGTAAAAAAAAAATCTATATTCAATTAGACACAGTGTAAGTTAAAGTATTAACATATTTACAGACAAAATTTTAAATATATCTCTACAATATATCATTAATTTTAAAGCAGCAAGCCTCTAGACTCCTGTCAATTTTCATCAAAATTAACCGCACATTACATGCAAAATATAACTTGGATAAGTGTTTTAATCTTTCTTATTTTTTTTTCCAAAATTGTTTTTATTGAAGTATTTTGGCTTACCTGGAGGCGTGCAGCTTTAAAAAAAAATTGTGAACGATAGTTTAAAAGAGTATAAAAAACAAGAGGGCCATGATGGCCCTGAGGTCGCTCACCTGTATATAGGCCCCCCACCCCCGGGCCAGTTTTTACCCAAGGGCTTTTATTTGTTTATTTGAACAGACTTGGTAGACACCCATAAGAAGATGTTTCATGCTAAACATCTAAGTTCTAGCTCATTGGCTTTTTTAAAAGAAGATTTTTAAAGTTTTTACTATACACATCTAGTTTTAAAACAATGTCACCCCTGGGGCAGGGCCAGTTTTGACCCCCGGCGTTTTATTTTAACAAACTTTGTAGATATTTACTTAAAAGATGTTTCATGCTTAATATCTAAACTCTAGCTATTTGGGTTTTTCATAAGAAGATTTTTTAAGTTTTGCTATACACATATAGGGAAAATCAATGACCCCCCCCCCCGGGCGGGCCAGTTTTGACCCCAGGGCTTTTATTTGAACAAACCTGGTAGACACCCATTAGAACATGTTTCATGCTAAATATCCTAGCTCTAGCTCTTTGAGTTCTTTAAAAGAAGATTTTTTAAGTTTTTACTATATGCATAAAGGGGAAAATCAATGACCCCCTGGGGCGGGGCCAGTTTTGACCCCAGAGCTTTTATTTGAACAAACTTGGTAGACACTCATTAGAAGATGTTTCATGCTAAATATCTTAGCTCTAGCTCTTTGGGTTCTTTAAAAGAAGATTTTTTAAGTTTTTACTATATGCATATAGGGAAAATCTATGACCCCCTGGGGCAGGGTCAATTTTGACCCCAGGGCTTTTATTTGAACAAACTTGGTAGACATTCACTAGAAGATGTTTCATGCCAAATATCTAAGCTCTAGCTCTTATGGTTCTTTAAAAGAAGATTTTTTAAGTTTTTACTATATGCATATAGGGAAAATCAATGACCCCCGGGGCTGGGCCAATTTTGACCCCAGGGCTTTAATTTGAACAAACTTGGTAGACACTCACTAGAAGATGTTTCATGCTTAATATCTTAGCTCTAGCTCTTTGGGTTCTTTAAAAGAAGATTTTTTAAGTTTTTACTATATGCATATAGGGAAAATCAATGACCCCCTGGGTCGGGGCCAATTTTGACCCCAGGGCTTTTATTTGAACAAACTTGGTAGACATTCACTAGAAGATGTTTCATGCCAAATATCTAAGCTCTAGCTCTTACGGTTCTTTAAAAGAAGATTTTTTAAGTTTTTACTATATGCATATAGGGAAAATCAATGACCCCCAGGGGCGGGGCCAATTTTGACCCCAGGGCTTTTATTTGAACAAACTTGGTAGACACTCACTAGAAGATGTTTCATGCCAAATATCTAAGCTCTAGCTCTTATGGTTTTTTTAAAAGAAGATATTTAAAGTTTTTTCTTTTGGTTGCCATGGCAACCAGAGTTCTGCATGGAATTAAATTCTTTGAACAATTTTTAAAGGTGACCACCAAAGGAACATTCCTGTGAAGTTTGGATGAAATTGGCTCAGTGGTTTATGAGGAGATGTCATTTAAAGCAAAAGTTTACGGACGGACGACGGACGGACGACGGACGGACGGACGCCGGACGAAAAGCGATCACAAAAGCTCACCCTGTCACTTTGTGACAGGTGAGCTAAAAAATAATCTATATTCTATTAGACACAGTGTAAGTTAAAGTATTAACATATTTACAGACAAAATTTTAAATATATGACAGGACAATGCTGAACATAAATTTCAGAAATGTCTAGTAAAAGTTGTTATAGTTCTCTTATGTTATATTTGACATAGAAAAAAGTAAAAAAAATTGTAACAAAGTTACCAATGTCCTCTTCCTTAGGGAAGTATTATATGATGCATAAAAATGTTAATCTCTGCCTTCACCTTAGTGTAGGCGAATGGTTATTGCACATGTCAGTGATTACACACCATCTCATTATTGTGAACATTTGTACAAGTATTTACAAAATAACAAGTTCTATGAAGAGGTTATAGACCAGACACAAAATGTACCATATAACTAATTTTTATTTTTCACTAAAGCCTCTACAAGAAGACTAAGAGTCTTATTTCTCTCCTCCGCTGCAGCAGCAATCCTTCTGTTTGTTTCCAGCATATCCTCGACTTGTCTGTTATGTTCTTCAACAAATGCCGAAAACCATGCTGGTGCCTCAGTGCTGCTGCGTCTCCTCTTCCTAGTTGGTTCACCTTCGGGGGTTGAAGGTTGTGTGGTCGGTGTTCCTGCCCGAACAGGTGGAGTAGGAGCTCTAGCAGGTGGAGTTGCAGTTCTTGCGGGTGGCGTAGCTGATTGACCAGTTCGACTTGGCTCTTTAGCCGGAATTGACATCCGATTTTCAACAGCTATTTCTGGCTGGCTTGTTCTATGAGGCAATGGTGGCTTGGATGTGACTATAAAAATATGAGAAAATGTATCCATCATTAAATAGTAAGATCATCAACACTGAAGTTAGTAATTGGAGAAAAAAAAATAGTTGTAATACACTCTTAATATCAAAAGCTTTTAACACAAACCAGTTAGTGCCTTTTACTTTTAACAGAGGCATTATAATTGCTTTTTTGGTCAAATTAATGTTACCTCAGACATGATCTTATATCATCAATACAGCAATGAATTTTGATTATTGCAGTCAAGATACATTTGTTTGTTACAATGCCAAGGTATTGTTGATACATGGTGATACATTTTTCTATCATCTTGGTTTAACTGTTTGAATAGTACTGTACTTGATTATTGTGTATTACTTTGACATATTTCTCCCAGTTTGAATTCTGAAGTTACCTTTTGATGAAGATATGACAGCTACAGGCCTTACAGACGGATCACCTGCCAACAGTTCATCCATTGCCTCAAAGAATTCCCATTTCCTCCTGCCTCGACCGCTCTTCTCGTTCGCATCCGCAATAGTTTTATACCTATTAATAAAATATTGATGCAATATTAACAACAGGATTCTTTAAGATGAATGTTATTAACTTCCTAAATTGTCATGATTAATAGTATATATTTATCCATTCTCAATAAGTAGCCTAGTTGGTGCTAAGTAGATAAAAGAACAGAAAGATAGTTAACAGCCTTAATCCATCACATCATTTTTGTCAAGTTAATTTCAAATTGTTCCATCACTGAGATTATGAGAGAGTCATTGTACAGGCAAGCCGTCACGTCTGACTTTGAGGTATGACATTTACTTTTGACCCAGTCAAACTGTTTTTGCGCATGACATGCCGTCTCATATTGAACATTTTTGCCAGGTAATTTGAAATTCCACCAACTAGTGGTAGACTTAAGGTGCGGACTAGCTGTTTGAAGATCTTTTTTGGCATATGACTCTTCAGTATCATAGTCATTTGTGGTGAGCTATTTGAAATTCTGCCAAGAATTGACAGAGTTACAGCCCGGACAAGCATATCCAGATGGACGCACATATATCAAACCGCCACTGAGACAGCTATGTCCCGTCCTCCGCAAGCAGGCTCACAAAAATCACCTTCAACTGTCTTAAGTAACAGGCCATTAAGGCTCAAAGTAATCATAACATGCAGATTAAAATAGACATTTGTAATTACCTGTACTTCAACGAGCGAAATTTCTTGTCGCACTGCAGGCCAGTAAATGAATAGCCTTTTTCCCTCATGCCTTCAGCAATCCTTTTCCAGACTTCAAAAGCCTTGAAAAGGGAGTTGCTGAACATCTGCTGGTGCTCAGAATACAAAGAGATCAGCAGAAGAACCTCCTCATGTCTCCAATTAACAGCTGAAATTATACAAATGAAATCAATCTTGTGAAACAGAGGATTTGATAACTTTTCCAAACAAGTCATATGATATCATCTGTCGTGAACCATCTTAAAACTACAATACAATTAAAAAATTACTATCCTGGGCAGTATGTACTTTAAGACAGACACACTTATGTAACAAGAATTTGTAATAGAGTTACCAACATCCCCTACCTCCGGGAAGTTTAACATGAAGCATTAATTGTGCTATTTCAAAAGATTGAGGTAAGGATCTTAGTACTTGCAGTCCAAAATCCCTTGATCTATGAAGATGTTAGGGATGGGACACAAAATGTACCATATAACAGACTCTGTTAAGCTTTGACCTCTAAGTGTGACCTTGGTCAAGAAGTTATGGACGGGACAAAAAAATGTACCATATAACAGACTCTGTTAAGCTTTGACCTGTAAGTGTGACCTTGACCTTTGAGGTGGGGCTGCAAGTGTTGCGCATGACACATCTGCTTCTTATATTGGCTATTTGTGCTAAGTATTTTCAAAATGCTTTGATCTATGAAAATGTTACGGACCAGAAACAATATATACCCTAGAACAGGCTAGAATAGTTAAACTTTGACCTCCAAGAGTGACCTTAACCTTAGATGTAGGTGACCAGTTGCTGCGCATGACACGTCGTCTTATCATTGTCAACAATTGTGGCAAGTATTTACACAATTGCTTCAAAATTAAGTAAGTTATGGACCAGACTCAACATATACCCTCAAATTCAATGTTGACCTTGAATGAGCTAGTGTGACATTGATCCTGGAGGTAGGGCCTGGTTGTTGCGCATGACACATCATCTTATTATAACAAACATTAGAAATTATTTCAAAGTCTTATCAATAATGACAAAGTTATGGACCGGACATGAAAGTGTGACGGACGGAGCGGACAGACCGAGCCTATTTCTATATCCCCCTTTTTTCTTCAAAAAGGCAGCCGACAATAATATGCAAGCTTATGTTTGCCTTAAACCGCTGTACACAGAGTTCATTTTATTCTGTATGTAACTGGACTCAATTTGAACCAATCCTTTACAATAAAAAAAGATAGTCATCTGGCTAGGTTCAGGTAGTCACTATTATTGGCCAACTGTATTTTATCTGGATATTTAATAAAATACCTACTGTCTGAGGTGTGGACATTAAAGTCAGGTTGTGTCACTCCTTTGTCCTGTTTTGGCGTGCTCACTGGACCTTAAATTAGACACAACAACAATCAGAAATATGAATTAAATGTGTAATCACTTTAAAAACAGTATTTAACAGGGAATCTATATTGAATTACCAATGATAAATGGCTGATTTTACTGCAGTAGTTATATAATCAAGCCTTCAGGAAAGAACCCTAGAATGCTCATTCAAGGAAGTATACACAAAAACTAAAACAGTATTTTTGCCTTTTGTAATTAATCTGTTTTACAAAACATTCTTTTCCTATCCTTTCCCTCATAATATAACCGGTATACACATTCTTAAACACTAAATGATGTCAAATCATTGTTCAAGCAATTCACTGTTCTTAATTCAGAAAACTTCAAATAAAACATTTGTTTTATCTTTGTTTAAAACAGAATAAAATACCTACTGTCAGAGGTGTGGACTTTTGTCACTCCTTTGTTCTGCTTTGGCGTGCTCACTGCACCTTAAAATAGACAGAACAACAATCAGAGATATGAAATAAGTGCTCATTCAAAAAAAAAAGTACACAAAAACAGACCCATTTTTTTGCCTTTGTTATTAATCTGTACATAGCTGGTATACACAATCAGGGTTACCAGCCCAATAGATAAATAAAATTCCCTGACATTTCCACGACTTCACTGACCGAATTAGGGTTTTCACTGAACAAAACTAAAGAACTTAAATGGCCTCTGCCTCCCTTACAGCCATCCAATCCACCGATAATTTTTTTGGTGTTTTTTTTTCCCAATTCTTTTAACAATATAGTATTACATTATATATGAATAAAACATGCTTTATACATCTGAACAAAGTTTGGTAGATTTGTGTTCAGTAAACTTTTAAACTATGCAAAATAAGCAAACAATTCTTACAAGATTTAACCAATACTTCAAAGATTATTGACAAAATTTATAATATATGTTTTAGCTAATGAAAGGGTAATAAAATATCACAAATATTACAAAAACTTGAATGATTAAACAACATATTCAAAAGCAAGTGATCATCTCAACTGAAGGCAGAAGCTAAAGAACATATTATATACTATGGACTAGGATTATCATCAAGGATAATACCTTATAATCCCATTATTTAAGATAATTACCTTCTGTCTGGTCCTTTAACTCGTTGTAATTCTTTATAATTTCATCTAACACAGATTGATCTGAAAGGATAACAAAAGAAAAAAAATTACCCAAAATTGCTTAAAAATTGTATTTCTTATGGACATATATACAACATGTTTCATGAATACAAATTTTCCAAGACGAATCCCAGGGTTCTTTTGGCTTTTTAAGGCCTTAAGTAGCTTACGCTTTTAGTCAAGCGTTCACACTTTTAGTCAAGTGTTCACACCATTGTGACGTTAGGGATAAAGCTGAACCCAACCCAATTGTGTGTTTTATGCAAGAAATTATTGAGGCAAAATTAACCAGGTATTTTAGCAATGTTTACAGTGTCATGAATGAAAATTTCCTTAATTTTTTCAACATAGTACACAAGGCTATTGATACAAATTAATTATATAAATATTTCTCCCATTCTTGTGAAAATGCTCTATTCTGTCCAAGAAGAAGTCATTTCCTTCCCTAATCCATAATTTAATAGACACCTATATTTAATTTTCAGAAGAATAAGAGAAATAATAACAGTAAAACTAATTTTTTTACTATGTCTGACATAAGCACACCTAGCACCATGTTGACAGTTTATAATCAAATTCAAATAGTTTCCACTGTACTTGCTATAATATGCAATCTGATATATTCTCGATATATTATCAATACAAAATATTTTATCAATGAGTCAAAGACAGCCCTACAGTTTTGGGCACTAAAAGATATGCTAACCACCTGTCTGCAAAACATAACTTACCTTACATCATAATCAGGGGAAAATACCTATGAAATACTTGGTTGCTAACCATAATGTAAGGGTGTTCGTTAGACTGATTACTCAACAGGCTGGTGAAAATGCACCATCAGGCTTATGACATAAAAATTATATTTCCAGAAAAATAATGAAGAGATTTCTTCTAAACTTTGTTTGTTTATTGAGCATAATGTATAACATCAGCAGATAGAAAAAATATTTGGTGACTGTCACTTTTGTGAGAGTTAGTTTGCCTTATTCATATTCATATAACACAATTTTCCAAACCTCCTAAAGGGTCATTGGCTCCTTGAATTTACTTTTCAATACACCAATTAACACTTTCCCCAACTAGCAGACGACCGACTATTCTTATCAGTAGGTTTTCGAGTAAAGATAACAAGTTATGTATCCCATTGTATAATTTGTATGTAAAATGGGCTGACTTATGGTAGGTTTAACAGTTAATTTAAATACTTTGGTGTCAAAAGATATCTAAAATTATATACTGTGACAAAGCTAAGATTCTAAGCTTTCCATTGATGTCATAATTTTTAAAACCGGACATTTAATCACAACAAACTAGCGGTTTAAAAATGGCTTAATTTGTATAATTTTAGCATAAGAGATACCAATTTTACTCCAAGGTAAGGGAAACAACTTGTATGTTTCCACTCGATATACCTTGGTTATTTACGTAGTTTATATGAAAAGTGTTTATGGGTGTATGGTCAAACGAAAAATTTCAAAGGAAAAACTTATCTAATCAGAAAAAAACTAATCACAGGTGTTATACTGAATGCTTATACATTATATAGAACTATTACAAACTTTTTTCAATATCCTGATATTCAAATATAATGTTAGCAAATGGGCAAAAAGTACCTTCTTCTTCTATAGCAGCTCTGTAGGTAGGAAGATCAACTGTAACTGTAGCAGTACTGCCATCAGGAAAAGATAAGGTCAAATTCCTTAAATAGCCTTCAGTGTCCATGTTGTTGCTGAAAAAAGTGAACAATAACACAATTCAGTGTCTTCCAGTGATCACTGTTTTAAAATGTATGCAGCAACTTTTCTAGAGTCAATTTTTTGTTGCAATTTTAACCTAAATCTGTATGTTTTTACATAACTCTAACAAATACCATGCAAGCAAGTGTGCTCAAACAATCCGTTTCTATTTCCGCCCGTATTTGTACGTTAATGGCTTTATTGTAAGCATAATATGATTTTAAATTCTAAAAACGAGGATAACAAATAATATTGACAATACTAACATCAATAATTGGGCAGATAAAAAAATGGCGTCTCTCAAAAATTCAACGAGAGTTTCTCATTTTCAGTTTTTTGGTATTTTTGCCAAGTATCTACCTTCAATTAATCATTAAACATTTTTACCACACAAACATTATACTTAGATATTGTCTTAATGCAAACATGTATACATAAATCATGTATTTACCACTTAAACCGTTAAAATAAAAAATAAAATCATTGAAGAATTTACCTGTCCGCCATTTTGGTTCGCCTCGCTAGCTATGTGTAAAAGACGTTTGCGATTGGCTAAAACGCTCGCGAACAACATTCCGTTCATTAACGCAAACTCTCGTATGGTTCGCGAGCGTTGGCGAACGTTTTCGGTAATGAACGCACGGCAGTTGCACAGCATTATTCAATGATATATGACATACATTGAAGAAAATAATAGTTTGCATGCATTGCTCATTCAAAAAATGACTGACAGCAATTTATATTTACCCCCACCCAGCAAAAATCACACCTAAAATGTACCAATATAGGCAATCTTCCTGAAGGTGCAGCATACTTCAGAATCCGCCCGATTCCTTTAAAAATATCAGTAACACGCAGTGCAAGCTATGGCATTTTCAGAAATGACAAATAAAGTGTCTGTCATACGTTTAGATTTTTCACAAAATTTATCTGAAATTTCTTACTTGTTTGGCGCCAACTGTCAAAGCTTGATTTTTAACTTTTTCACCTCCATTCGGAGAGTCAGAAATACATACAAAGCTACCAAAATGCTTAGTTTTGGGTAAAAACCCAAAAATATATCTCATTTCCTACACACAAACAAGAAAGAATTACAATGACAGAGAAATATCAGAAGTTATCAGTACCTTCAAAACACCATGTCTGAGTTATTAAAAAATTTGACCGGGGCCATCATTCGAATATGTCCCCTGCCCCCTAATAGCCGAGGCAGTTCCGAATGTCGTTATTCATTTAAGGGGGCAGGGGACATATTTGAATGATGGCCCCGGTCAAATTTTTTAATAACTCAGACATGGTGTTTTGAAGGTACTGATAACTTCTGATATTTCTCTGTCATTGTAATTCTTTCTTGTTTGTGTGTAGGAAATGAGATATATTTTTGGGTTTTTACCCGAAACTAAGCATTTTGGTGGCTTTGTATGTATTTCTGACTCTCCGAATGGAGGTGAAAAAGTTAAAAATCAAGCTTTGACAGTTGGCGCCAAACAAGTAAGAAATTTCAGATTAATTTTGTGAAAAATCTAAACGTATGACAGACACTTTATTTGTCATTTCTGAAAATGCCATAGCTTGCACTGCGTGTTACTGATATTTTTAAAGGAATCGGGCGGATTCTGGAGTATGCTGCACCTTCATGAAGATTGCCCATATTGGTATATTTTAGGTGTGATTTTGGCTGGGTGGGGGTAAATATAAATTGCTGTCAGTCATTTTTTGAAGGAGCAATGCATGCAAACTATTATTTTCTTCAATGTATGTCATATATCATTGAATAATGCTGTGCAACTGGTTATCTGCCCGTGAAACAGATTTTGAAATATTTGGAATTGTGTTTCTGGTCACACTGAAATACAAAATTTTTCATTTTTAGGTCCCCTGCCCCCTTAAGGAAATTTTCAAATTTATAAAATGTGTTGGAATTGACCCAAATGTGCCCATAAACATTCCTTCTACATTTGTTAGTCAAAATTTGAAGTGACTGGTAGGATTTATCAAGTTATGTAGAGTAAGTAGACTGTCAAGTCAAGGGAGGTAATAAAAATTTGGAATTTTGGCAAACACTGTACTTCACAGAATGTGCACATTTATCCAGATTTAACAGTTTTATATTGTGCAAATTGACATAATACTGCATAATTGAGCACTTTTAATTGTTACAAATGTATATAATGTCATATAAGTCAACAGTGGTATCTTTACTGCATTTTTAGGTGTATGCCAGAATAAATGGGGTCTGGTTTCCTGTAAAATTCATTTTGGGACATTAAATGTGGCTGTAATATTGTTTTTCTTGCTATAATCTCCTTCCAAAAGACTTTAAATACTCTGAAAATACTTTATGGTATTTAAATGAAGGTTGAATACAGAAAAATAACCATCTCACAGGTTCCTGGCACTTGATATTAAGTAAATCATATAACAGGCATGGTCATTGTACTAGTTACTTCCCCTGAAATAGGGTCTTTTTTAAATATTTGATTAAATACAAAGTAACAGCAGTATTCACTTTTCAAAGTTAACGTTTAATGCGAAATACTCCATATTTTAAGAAAATAAAAGGAAACGCTTTAATGCTGATCACATAAAAAATCTTAAGGGGGCAGGGGACATATTCGAATGATGGCCCCGGTCAAATTTTTTAATAACTCAGACATGGTGTTTTGAAGGTACTGATAACTTCTGATATTTCTCTGTCATTGTAATTCTTTCTTGTTTGTGTGTAGGAAATGAGATATATTTTTGGGTTTTTACCCGAAACTAAGCATTTTGGTGGCTTTGTATGTATTTCTGACTCTCCGAATGGAGGTGAAAAAGTTAAAAATCAAGCTTTGACAGTTGGCGCCAAACAAGTAAGAAATTTCAGATTAATTTTGTGAAAAATCTAAACGTATGACAGACACTTTATTTGTCATTTCTGAAAATGCCATAGCTTACACTGCGTGTTACTGATATTTTTAAAGGAATCGGGCGGATTCTGGAGTATGCTGCACCTTCATGAAGATTGCCCATATTGGTATATTTTAGGTGTGATTTTGGCTGGGTGGGGGTAAATATAAATTGCTGTCAGTCATTTTTTGAAGGAGCAATGCATGCAAACTATTATTTTCTTCAATGTATGTCATATATCATTGAATAATGCTGTGCAACTGGTTATCTGCCCGTGAAACAGATTTTGAAATATTTGGAATTGTGTTTCTGGTCACACTGAAATACAAAATTTTTCATTTTTAGGTCCCCTGCCCCCTAACGACAGGGGCGGAGCCATATTTAACACAGTACGTGTGACGTCAAACGCACTCGTCACTGCATTTCAGGGTTCCCGCTGTCGCTCGCCAATGGCGCCAAATGCGACAATATATTAATTCTGGCGCATGAAATCTTTAATTGGCGAATTTAACTGGCGCCAACGTAAGATAAAAGCATCCGACAACTAGTACACTTAAATGTCATAAGCGGCCGCGTCAATTACATAAGCGGCCCAAATGTGAAAGGTCACGCGCTATTAGTTTGTTTATCAAACTGTATAATCGGGTACCGTATAATCAATTATGTCATCAATTGTGTGACACTTCGGGAACATGTGAAGATGAAAGTGTCAATGTGTTAAATGGAACAATTTACGTCTTTCATTCTCTGACATGTGTGGTCAACAGGTGTTAGTAGCGAACAGAGAAGTGAAAGATCGTCCGTGATGTTGACAAACATTGAACTTTCGGTAAGTTGACTCGTCAACTGATTAAAAATAATTACAGTTTGAATATTAAATCGGATGACAATTAAAAGAATAATTTCACCAATGATTGATCTAAAGTCACTGTACTGCAATGTTAATATTTTCATATCTGAATGTAAAGTGCTGAAGTGTCTATTCACATGCAAACCCTATTAAAATAAACAATACTTTTCACAGTGTCTATTCTAGGACGCGCGATTGCGCGATTCTCGCTAGTATTTCACAGATCGCGCACAATTCAAAATCATGTGCGTGAAAATCGCGCATCTATAAAAAAAGTTAATAAAATCGTAAAACTTCCATCCCCACTATATTTGGTTGTTTTGTTTACATTTACATCTGAAACCGAAGGGAGGTAACTGTTAGCTAATTATAATAATTTAGTACCGTATGGTACTGGTTACGTGAGTTGACGGAAATTAACGGAATGTTCCGTACCAACGGGAACTAGTGTGCTCGATCTGACAGTTGGGCGCCATTTAAGTGTAGTAAATAATCAAGAAAAACGAGGCAATTCCTAGCTTGGCTACGATCTAGACGCGAAAGATAGGTCGATTGTTTGTATTGTCAATCCCTTTATAATCAATCGCGGCAGTTCTGTAATAATTTGTTTTCGTTTAAAAATTAAGGGGGGACAACTTCTGCTGCTTAAATAAATAACTCCTCAGTGTTAACTTAATGCAGACGATTTAACATTGGCAGTTTATTTTGGCACCCCTTGATTTTGAAAATCGCCCCCTTTTTTGAAATAGAGGGGGGAAAATCACCCCTATTTTTCAATTCCTAGAATAAACACTGCTTTTCATTGTTAAAAATACTAAGTATCTATTTTATTTTTTGTTTTCCTTGATTTTTAGATGAAGTCAATTTATAGTAATGTTGTTTTTTTTTATTTTGTATCTGTAGATCACCAGATTGTCGTGTAGAGACTGGGAAAGATCTTGGCTCAGTCCAGCCTGTGAGAAGAACTGCTATACTGGCAAAATGGTGGAAACAGGACCTTCTATGACTAACTTAACATGATGTTTTTGATTACATTTATGCCGTCATGTGTATTTATTTAAATGGAATTTGAAAACCACATATTAGTATGTCTATATTTTAAATAATAGACATGTGCAGCTGTAATAAAATGAAATATTATAAATATGTGTTTGTAATCATAATGATATATAACTGCTAGCATATCTTAGCAAAGATAGGCATGTCTCCCTTGCAGAATTATTGGCTCCAACTTTGGAGCCATTGGCTCCAACATTTTCTGATTGGCGAATTTGGTGGCGCAAACTAATTTTGACCCAGAGGGAACCCTGCATTTGAAATAGAAATGAGCGATTATTTCATACTATTTCACGTTAAATTTTAAAGAACATCGAGCTCGCTTTGAGGCTTTGCCTTTTTCATATTATATTTAATGTAAGAAATTATCCTTTACTTAAACATTTAACTACATTTAAAGATAAATATCTAACCCACGCCAAAACACGCCTTTCCTCACGCTGACCAAATTCCCGCTCTACCTCCAAGTAGAAGAGTATTCAACAATAATAAAAATTAGCGCAAAGATACGAAAACATCAGAAAGTAATAAATAACAAAAAGATGTATTTCGGACCCTACTACACAAGTCGAGATTAAAAACTATATAACAGTAACTACACATCGTGCTAATTTACTGTCCTAGGATGATAATTTGGTCTTAACGGTACATGGGAAAGTCCAAAAACGGGGTTATCTGGATTATTATCAGATATCGTTAAAGTAAATACTTATGTATTCTATATAGCATAATTCTTACTGTATAGTTTGTGTATTACCGTTATGGCTCTGCCGGTACATCGAAGTTATTGTAACATTTAATGTTTTGTACTCATACGTTCAAACCCCACGTA